TAATTGTATATTTATCTATTTCGTTTTCGTTGTAACTTCGTGTATTCATTAGATAAGCTTATTCAAAATGGTTATTTTGTATTTTTCAGTTTTCACAGCTTATTCGTCTTATTCGTCTTATCCGACTAATATATATGGCTTAGATTGGTTCATTGGAAGCCAGTATATTTATTGAAGTTTAGTCAAGATCGAGTATTAGTTATGAATGTTATATTATTTGAGTAAATGTTATGCGTCCTTTTTATACCTGTATAATAAACTGTTATATTAATTATTCGTATTCAACCCAATAAGCCCATCGAGACCCATGTTGCTGCTTTGCGTCATAATGCTCCGGAGGTAGACCGCCCAACTACTTAAATAGACATTACACATCTGTGTACTCAGAAACATTTTTGGTAGCAGTCAGCTTGGTTTGTCATGGAATAGTGGAGAAACGCTTCCAACTATTCGCAATGGGTATTATTAATCTTTGAACTTTGAAGATGAGCGGTAAAGACGATTCGCACAGCGTGGCAGATGGTTACCAAAAGGAGAAATCGGACCATTTTCTTAAAAGAAAACAGAAATAACCAGGTGCAGAATTTCCTTAACAGTATTCACTTTATCGAGGAGATAAATTATCATTCTTTATTATCAGCTATTCCGCATCATGTATTAACAGCTGGGAGAAAAACCCGAGCAGATAAATTTGGATTTCATGTTAAAATGCCATCAGAAATTGACAGAAATATTATTACAGTTATGTGATATAGACAGTAATAAAACGGGCATGAATTAGATCAAGTTGGGGAAGAATATCTGAATTATATAATCGTAAAGATTTTAGACTAATTGTATACTAAATATGATATCAACATCAGATGAAAACAGCAGTCTCTATTGAAATGTTAACAGTCGTACAGACAGACGGGTGGACGAATAAGGACGGTGGCAATATGCTTCCACATTTCGAAGCCCGTGATTTCGTCATATCTACTACTATGGTCGCCATACTAAGTTGTTGAAGAAATAGGTGCTAGGTAATATGACACGGCTTTAAGTTACTTCGCTTGAACTGGAAAATGTTAACGTGTGTCGCTTCTCAAAAACACGGGGACAGCAGAGAAACACAAAGCTCTACTTTATATTGTGAAAGAACTATGATACATGTGATATAATGTTATATTATTGTAATACAAGGTACTGTTTTATTGTGAAAGAACTATGACACATGTAATATGATATTATATTATTGTAATACAAGGTACTGTTTTATTGTGAAAGAACTAAGATACATGTTATATAATATTATATTATTGTAATACAAGGTACTATTTTATTGTGAAAGAACTAAGATACATGTAATATAATATTATATTATTGTAATACATGGTACTGTTTTATTGTGAAAGAACTATGATACATGTAATATAATATTATATTATTGTAATACAAGGTACTGTTTTATTGTGAAAGAACTAAGATACATGTAATATAATATTATATTATTGTAATACAAGGTACTGTTTTATTGTGAAAGAACTAAGATACATGTTATATAATATTATATTATTGTAATACAAGGTACTATTTTATTGTGAAAGAACTATAATACATGTAATATAATAATATATTATTGTAATACAAGGTACTGTTTTATTGTGAAAGAACTATGATACATGTATTATAATATTATATTATTGTAATACAAGGTACTGTTATATTGTGAAAGAACTATGATACATGTAATATAATATTATATTATTGTAATACAAGGTACTGTTTCATTGTGAAAGAACTATGATACATGTAATATAATATTATATTATTGTAATACAAGGTACTGTTTCATTGTGAAAGAACTATGATACATGTAATATAATATTATATTATTGTAATACAAGGTACTGTTTTATTGTGAAAGAACTATAATACATGTAATATAATATTATATTATTGTAATACAAGGTACTGTTTCATTGTGAAAGAACTATGATACATGTAATATAATATTATATTATTGTAATACAAGGTACTGTTTCATTGTGAAAGAACTGTGATACATGTAATATAATATTTTATTATTGTAATACAAGGTACTGTTATATTGTGAAAGAACTATGATACATGTAATATAATATTATATTATTGTAATACAAGGTACTGTTTTATGGTGAAAGAACTATGATACATGTAATATAATATTTTATTATTGTAATACAAGGTACTGTTTTATGGTGAAAGAACTATGATACATGTAATATAATATTTTATTATTGTTATACAAGGTACTGTTTTATGGTGAAAGAACTGTGATACATGTAATATAATATTTTATTATTGTAATACAAGGTACTGTTATATTGTGAAAGAACTATGATACGTGTAATATAATATTATATTATTGTAATACAAGGTACTGTTTTATGGTGAAAGAACTATGATACATGTAATATAATATTTTATTATTGTTATACAAGG